TGGGCAAGGTGCAGCTAAATCTGAGGAAGAACAGGAATAAAAGAACTAATTGCCTCTAGTACCCTTGCCATCTCTTCTGTCTTATAGATTTTACCACCTCTCACTGCACACTGTCTCCTCCATGATATATGACTGCCGACAGCACCAGAATTTTGTCTTACAACTTTCATGATGGGAGACAAGGACTGATTTTTACCTTCTAGATTCCAAGTTTAAAAATCTTAGAAAAGATATACGAGCTCAGCAAAGTAGAGCCTACCCTGTATCAACTAACTCTGGCCACTAGTTTGGGAGAACATGGCAGCTCTATTAGCCATTTGGAAGAGGGTAGAACATGGGAAGAATAAAGTTCCTAGGAGAATAGAGTTGGTAAATGAGACAGGATGCCTACAGTATATCAAAATTTGTTAATGGTATGGGATAACCAAATGAATGATACAGACAGCAGAGTATCTAATCTTGAACCACTTTTTCTCAGAGAATAGAGATTTAGCCCAATGGTAGGTATTTATGTGCTTAGAATATTTGTAGTTAATAAAACCTTCCCCAGGATTACATAAGAGTTATAGCAGCTCCAGCCTGGCCAACATGGAGAAACCCCATCTCTACTAAAAATACAAAATATTAGCTGGGCATGGTGGCGCGTGCCTGTAGTCCCAGCTACTTGGGATGCTGAGGTGGGAGAATCAGTTGAACCCTGGAGGCAGCGGTTGCAGTGAGCTGAGATTGCACGTTGCCTGGGGGACAGAGCGAGACTCAAAAAAAAAAAAAGGAGTTTAGAGATACCATAAATATAATCCCAGCAATGCTCTCTCTCCTTTATATTTACTCCCTACTATATTTTGCAACTATTTTTTAATGACTTCATTGAGATATATTTCACATACCATAAAATTCACCCATTTAAAATGTAGTTTTAATTTTCAAACATTTTCAAAATCTCAGAAAGAAAGCTTTGCCCATTAGCAGTCACTGCCCATGGCCCTCCTGTCCCCTTACACTGCCCGCCCCACCCCCTGCTACCAAGTTTCTGGTACCTACTTTGTCTATCTTCTCTCTAGAGATTTGCCTTTCTGGATATTTCATATAAATGGATTCCTGCGATAGGTGGTCTTTTGTGTCTGGCCCCTTTCATTAGCATAATGTTTTCAAGATTCGTAAATATCGTACCATGTATCAGTACTTCATTCCTGTTTATTTTTTTGCTGGATAGTATTTTATTGTATGGTATATAACACATTTTAATGATCAGTTGATGGATATTTGGATTGTTTATAATTTTTGGCTCTTAGGAGTAATGCTGTTCTGAACATTTATGTTCAAGTTTGTGTGGACATGTGTTTCATGTCTCTCAGGTATATAGCTAAAAGTGGAATTACAGGGTCATATGGTAAATCTTTGAGGAGCTGTCATACTGTTTTTCAAGGTGGTTCTACATCCTCACCAACACTATTATTGTGACTCTCTTAATAGAGATGAAACCTCATTGGTTACATAAACTCCCTCTGGAGAAGAAATGGATTTTTTTGACCACATTTCTAGAAGTTGAGAGTCAGACAATCAGTTATCTAGAGCTGAGATGAATCACCAAGGGAAAGTATATACCAACCAAGAGATACGCAGTAGCACTTTGGGGAAATCAGTGTATATTTTGGTAGTATGAGGAGATAAAGAAGCAGGCAAAGACAGAAAAAAATATAGTCAGGGAGGTAGGTTAGATGATGAATAGGGAAGATTTTGTACCATAAAAATAGAGGTGGAATTTTTTAGTAAGGGGGTGGATAATGGTTTACAGAAGATTAAGACAACTAAGACAAGACTTTGGATTTGTTGACCAGTAGTTAGATTACTGTGACTTTCTTGGGATAAGTTTTTTACATGATGACCAAAATTGTAAGAAGGGTAGGGAAGTGGAGAGACAATCTAAGTCACACTTCTGAACCACATGACAGTAAATGGAAGGAGAGAAGACTTCACTGATGAGTGAATAAGTGCTGGGAGAAGAGGGTACATTAAAGAGCAGATTATAAATTGATAGGAAGTTGCTATTAATTTATTTTTTAGCCAATGAAATGGTTTTTTTTTGTTTTGTTTTGTTTTGTTTTGTTTTTTTGATAGTCTCCCTCTGTCACCCAAGCTGGGGTGCATGCAGTTGCAGGATCTGAATAGCCGGTATTACCGGTGTGCAGCACCACCACGCCTGGCTTTTTAAAAATTTTTTTAAGACAGAGTCTCACTCTGTTGCCCAGGCTGGAGTGCAGTGGCATGATCTCGGCTCACTGCAACTTCTGCCTCCCGGGTTCAAGCACTTCTTGTGCCTCAGCCTCCCAAGTAGATGGGATTACAGGTGCGTGCCACCACACCCAGCTAATTTTTGTATTTTTAGTAGAGACGGGGTTTTGCCATGTTGGCCAAGCTGGTCTTGAAATCCTGGCCTCAAGCAATTGATCTGCCTTTCTCACCGTCTCCAAGTGCTGGGATTACAGGTGTGTAAATGGTCTTTACAAGAAGCAAAATGTCTACAGAACAGGTACAGATGCAGATTATCTTTGCTTGGCCTTCCCCTTGCTTTGGCAATCACTATGCTTCCATATAAGGGGATATTTATAAAAATTGGATTGTTTTTGTTCTTGGAATCTACTTGGGCTTCAGCAATGCCAGGTCCCTCTAGGGAGTGAGAAGAGACCATACCCTGGAGTCTCTAGAAAGCTAGAGATAGATGTAAACTTTCTGGGATATTGAAGAGTATGTTTCTTAGCAGAGGAAAACTGAAGATACACAGGAGGAGAAACAATGCAGCGGGATAAGAGAAGAGGTTACAGGCTGGAACAGTTATAAAGGATATGGACATTTGATGTTGAGAAGGAAGTCAAAGAGCCTAAGTCAAGATCTCTTCTTTCATTTTCTAATGTTAAAGCGCTGAGACTGGGACTTGAGGAAAGGAGAAAGTTTTGGAAATCTGTTTTGAGAACGAACAAAAGTTATCTCAACCATAACAGTGAGATCCTAACCTTGAATTCATAGGAGACTCATGATTTCAAGGCAGGAAGTAAAGAATTTGAAACAAGAGTGAGTGTGGAGAGAAAACAGGTGCTGTCTTTTCTAGCATTGAAAATTGGCACAATAGAGATGGGATTAAGGAATATTTTAATTGTGGTTGAATGAGTCTAAAATCATGGCCCATAAAATCCAGATATAGTATGCAGAGTAAAGGAAGCCAGAATAGGGGTGATAGAGTTAGTGAATAGGAAGCTTTCCAGAGATCAGAAGTCACAACAAAATTCGTGAGAATAAAAAGGTTATAGTCTGAAGAATTTTAGAATTTAAAATATTGGATACTTTCAAAAATTATAAGGCCCCAAATCTGTAAAATAAGATACTGTGCCAATATATGACTTTCTAAACAGTTAACTTTAGTTAGAAATATAACTGCTAAGAGAAACAGACATTTTCACAATAATAGCTAGAGACTTCAGTACTCCACCTTCCATAATGGATGGAACAACCTGGCAGAAGTTAAGAAATAGAGGATCTGAACAATGCAATAAATCAACTAGATGTAACAGACATAAACAGAACACTCAACCCAACAACAATACGCATTCTTCTCAAGTGCACATGGCATATTCTCCAGGATAAACCTTATGCTAGGTCCCAAATTTAGTCTCGTTGGATTTTAGAAGGTATGTATCTGTGTTAGACAGAGTTTTCCAGAGAGACAGAACCAACAGGAGATACATATCGAGAGAGAGAGAGATAGGAAAAGGGATGGGGAGAGAGTATGGAGGAGGGGACACTGGTACAAGTCCCAAAATCCAAAGGCTGGAGGACCTGGAGTTGCTGATGTCCAAAGGCAGGAGAAGAGAGATGTCCCAGCTCCAGGAATCAGAATGAACTTGTCTTTTCTCTACCTTTTTGTTCTGTCTGGGCCCCCGGTTAATTGGATGGTGCCTGCTCACATTGAGGGAGAATCTTCCCCGACTCAGTCCACTGACTCACACACCACTGTTCTCTGGAAACGCCCTCATAGACACACTCAGCAATAATACTTTAGCGACTATCTGCTTTTGCAGTCAAGTTGACACCTAAAATTAAGCATCACAAGCTCATGCAAAGTATCTTCTCTGACCACAACAACATGAACGTAGCAATCATTAACAAAAGAAAACTGGAAAATTCACAAATTTATGAAAATTTAAAACATGCTCTTAAACAACCAGTGGAGCAAAGAAGAAATCCTAAGGAAAATTAGAAAATAACTTAGAGATGAATGAAAACAAAAATATACCAAAATTTATGGGATACAGCAAAAGCAGTGCTAAGGGGGGAGTTTTTAGCTGTAAATCCTTATATTAAAATATAAGAACGATCTCACATCAGCAACCTAACTTTACAATCTAAGGAACTAGAAGAAGAACAAACAATCCAGAGCTAGCAGAAGGAAGGAAATCAGATAATTTTGTATAATCTTGATAAATTGTGTTTTAAAATAGTTTTACAGCTTTAAATTATGTCTAATATTTGCTTAAATTAAATGTTACAGATTTTCTTTCTTTTTTTTTTTTTTTTTGAGATGGAGTCTCGCTCTGTCTCCCAGACTGGAGTGCAGTGGCGTGATCTCGGCTCACTGCAGGCTCCGCCTATCGGGTTCATACCATTCTCCTGCCTCAGCCTCCCAAGTAACTGGGATTACAGGTGCCCGCCACAACACCTGGCTAATTTTTTGTCTTTTTAGTAGAGAAGGGGTTTCACCATGTTAGCCAGGATGGTCTCGATCTCTTGACCTCGTGATCTGCCCACCTCAGCCTCCCAAAGTGCTGGGATTACAGGCATGAGCCACCGAGCCTGGCCCCACAGATTTTCAATTAAATTGTTTAAATCACTCAGCTAATAGACTCTGCAAAACAAAATAACTGGTTCAAAACAAATCGGTTGCTCTGAAATGTTTGGCTGTAAAATATCAAATGATTTGCATTTATAAACGTATCATTTTATTTCAGGTTGCAATGTAGGATTTTGGAAGTCCTCCCTCCATCACATCAAAATGGTTTTGCTAATGGACATGTTAACAGTGTGGATGGAGAAACTATTATCATCAGTGATAGTGATGATTCGGAAACACAAAGCTGTTCTTTTCAAAATGGGTAAGTGATTTTTATTACTTTTTAAATTATTTGGCAAATTGCCCACTGATACTCCATTGAAACAACTTTTTTTTTTTTTTTTTTTTTGAGATGGAGTTTCGCTCTCTCGCCCAGGCTGGAGTTCAGTGGCTCGATCTCAGCTCACTGCAACCTCCACCTCCCATGTTCAAGCGATTCTCCTGCCTCAGCCTCCTGAGTAGCTGGGATTACAGGCGCCCACCACCATGCCTAGCTAATTTTTATGTCTTTGGTAGAGACAGGGTTTCACCATGTTGGCCAGGCTGGTCTTGAACTCCTGACCTCAGGTGATCTGCCTGCCCTAGCCCCTCAAAGTGCTGGAATTACAGGCATGAGCCACCACGCCTGGCTGAAATAACTTTTCTTTCATCCTTTTTTCCTTCTAGTCATACTGTGGTATAGTACTCATCTAAACAATCTAGTTCAACAATGATGTTAGAATTTTCAAAACTGCAATTTACCTAGTTAACACTATGCAGCTGCTGAAGAGCAATGGATGCTAACTCTCATTCAGTCATTTATACATCCCCCCCCGCCCCCTGCCTCTTTTTTTTTTTTTTTTTGGAGACGAAGTTTCCGTCTTGTTGCCCAGGCTGCAGTGCAATGGTGCGATCTCAGCTCACTGAAGTCTCCCAGGTTCAAGTGATTCTCCTGCCTCAGCCTCCCAAGTAGCTGGGATTACAGGCATGCGCCACCACGCCTGGCTAATTTTGTATTTTTAGTAGTGACGGGGTTTCACCATGTTGTTCAGGCTGGTCTCGAACTCCTGACCTCAGGTGATCGACCCGCCTCAGCCTCCCAAAGTGTTGGGATTACAGGCGTGAGCCACCGCATCTGGTCCCTACTTTTGTTTACTTGGAAAAATCCATTCTGTACTTTAACAGTCATTCCCTTTGGCACACACAATAAAGAAACACTGTAACCACCTCAAATTCAGACAGTTGATGATCTGTGTCAGCTGGGTGCTGTTGGAGAAAAATCACACAAACATGTAGCTAGGAATTTAAAATCTCAGCTGAGTCTGCAACCGATTAAAAGTTCTTTTACATGTTTTAGCTCAGCAACCTCTTCTGTTCTCCACAATGACTATTCTAAATCATTATTTCTCCATTCTGGTCCCTTTTAGGCATCTCAGACTTCAAAATGCTTTCTCCCGCCTGTCTTGTGTCTTCCTTGGTTTCCTATTTTTAGTGAACAGTACCATAATGTTAAAAAAAGAAATCTGAGATCACTCTTACCTACTTCTTTTACTTTGCTCCTGAAACACCAGTGTCGATAAGTTCTTTCAGAAACTTTTTGTTCACGTTCTCATTTTACCTGACATTAACTATTATAGCTATAACTAGCATTTGAGAATTGACTATGATCAGGCACTGTGCTAAGTACTTTATATGCATTTTGGTCAGTTCTGGAAGAGTGTTGTAATTCTAATTTAACAAGGAAAAGCCTGAGACTTAGGAAGGTTAATTGGCTTTGTACAAGGTCATCTAACTAGCACACTGTCTGACAGAGTAATTTTTAAGTGAGTGAATGAAGCATGACATGCTCCTGTATAAGTCTTTTGATACATCTCTCACTTATTTTTTTTTTTTTAAAGAGATGGAATCTTGTTCTGTTGCCTAGGCTGGAGTGCAGTGGTGAGATCGTAGCTCACTGTAGCTTCAAACTCCTGGGTTCAAGCAGTCTTCCTGCTTCATCCTCCCGAGTACCTAGGACTACAGGCGCATGCTACCATGCCCTAATTTTTAATTTAAAACTTTTTTTTTTTTTTTTTTAAGTAGAGACAGGGTCTTGTTATATTGCTCATGCTGGTGTCAAACTCCTCGCTTCAAGCGCTCCTCCCACTTCAGTCTCTTGAAGTGCTGGGATTACAGACAGGAGCCACTGTGCCTGGCCAACTTACTACTATTAACCAGAAAAATAAATTACTATATTACTTGTTCATGTCTTCCGTTAAGTATAGGGTTTGGGATGCAAAATTTGTGGGAATTATAGTAGTAAATGTATGTCCTTGAGCATGTTTTCATGTGTTTTGTTTGGACTATGTCAAAGATTGTAACCTTTAAATGGAGTTAGTTATAAATCAGATGAGTATATGCATAGGTACAAATATAAGTAAACATGTAAGTATTCATTAACAATAAGTACAAATAAAGTCTCTAATTTTTTGGAATGCCTCTTGAAAATTTTAATTCAAGGTATAAAAACTAAGCCCAGTCTTAAAGGATTAAACACAGATTTTTGTATATGCAAGGTATTTTTAAAATTCATGTTTAAATATGGTAAGCATTTATTTATCTGAATTTTTTTTCGAGACAGTTTCATTCTTGTTGCCCAGGCTGGAGTGCAGTGGCACAATCTTGGCTCACTGGAACCCCCTGTCTCTCGGGTTCAAGTGATTCTCCTGCTTCAGCCCCTCTAGTAGCTGTGGTTAAAGGCATGTGCCACCACTCCCAGGTAATTTTAGTGTTTTTAGTAGAGACGGGGTTTCTCCAGTTTGGCCAGGCTGGTCTCAAACTCCTGACCTCAAGTGATCCGCCCACCTCGGCCTCCCAAAGTGCTGGGATTACGGATGTGAACCGCTGCACACGACCCATGTTTTTTTTTTTTTGAGATGCAGTCTCACTCTATTGCCCAGGCTGGAGTACAGTGGCGCAGTCTCGGCCCACTGCAACCTTCCTGGATTCAAGTGATCTCCTGCCTTAGCCTCCTGAGTAGCTGGGACTACAGGCGCGTGCCACCACGCCTGGCTAGATTTTGTATTTTTTAGTGGAGACTGGGGTTTCACCATGTTGGCCAGGCTGGTCTTGAACTCCTAACCTCAGTTAATCTGCCTATATCGGCCTCCCAAAGTGCTGGGATTATAGGCGTGAGCCACCATGCCCGGCCCCATGTAGTAACTTTTCCTATACTTTTTTAATTCTTTTAGGTGCTGTGAGGTGATTTGAGATGAGGAATGTGTAGATTCTGGGGGTCAGCATGCTGTTATTCAGCTCATGAATGTCCCTTTTTCAGATTTGAACATGAGCTACCTGCATATTTTCTGGCTAATTTGTAACTTTGAATACAAAGCACATTAATTCAGAATTTCAATTAGTAAATATTTTGCCTGTTATAATGTAGCATTTTGGAGAAGACTTCCATTGGTGAATCCTACTTGTGACATTTGTAGGAAGTTTACTACAAAGTATGATTGAATTTGGCCATAGGAGCGATCAGTCATAATTTCCTGACTAAATAGACTGTGCCATATCCCTTGTATACAGTTAACTTGCAATAGACCCTTGATATGAGAAAAGTGAATAAGCTGATCAATTATTTTTTGTTTTTTTGATTTTGTTTTTGAGACAGGGTCTCACCCTGTCACCCAGGCTGTAGTGTGCAATGGCGTGATCTCAGCTCACTGCAACCTTGACCTCTTGGGTTCAAGCCAGCTTTCCTAGTAACTGGGACTACAGGTGCACACCACCCATGCCCAGCTAATTTTTTGTATTTTTTGTAGAGATGGCGTTTCATCATGTTGCTCAGGCTGGTCTGGTATTCCTAAGATCAAGCAATTCACCCACCTCAACCTCCTAAAGTGTTGGGATTACAGGCGTGAGCCCACACACCTGGCCTAATCAATTTTTTATTCACAGGATTTGTTTTGTTTTGTTTTTTGAGACAGAGTCTCACTCTGTCGCCCAGGCTGGAGTGCAGTGGTGCAATCTCAGCTCACTGCAGACTCCATCTCCCTGGTTCAAGTGATTCTCCCACCTCAGCCTCCCAAGTAGCTGGGATTACAGGTGCACGCCACCACACCCAGCTAACTTTTGTATTTTTAGTAGAGATGGGGTTTCACCATGTTGGCCAGGCTGGTCTCAAACTCCTGACCTCAGGTGATCCACCTGCCTTGGCCTCCCAAAGTGCTGGGATTACAGAATGTGAGCCACCACACCTGGCCTATTCACAGGTATTTTTATTTTTATTTTTATTTATTTTTGTTTTGAAATGGAGTCTTGCTCTTGTTGGGCAGGCTGGAGTGCAATGGTGCAATCTCGGCTAACCACAACCTCTGCCTCCCGGGTTTAAGTGATTCTCCTGCCTCAGCCTCCCGAGTAGCTGGGATTACAGGGATGTGCCACCACACCTGGCTGATCTTGTATTTTTAGTAGAAACAGGGTTTCTCCATGTTGGTCAGGCTGGTCGCGAACTCCCAACCTCAGGTGATCCTCCCGCCTTGGCTTCCCAAAGTTCTGGGATTACAGGCGTGAGCTACCCCGCCTGGCTCACAGTTATTTTTAACTAATTTGTCTATGTTAAAGAATCTCAGCCTTCACTATATATCAATATCATAAAATACCTGTTTGTGGATTGCTACTGCTCTGTGTAGACATCATCAGATACCACAGGAAGGGTGAAACACAGCTGTCTTTGGACCTTATTATTTCTAAATTAATTCCCTAATTTTAAAAAATTCTCTAATTAGGCCGGGCGAGGTGGCTCAAGCCTGTAATCCCAGCACTTTGGGAGGCCGAGACGAGCGGATCACGAGGTCAGGAGATCGAGACCATCCTGGCTAACATGGTGAAACCCCGTCTCTACTAAAAAAATACAAAAAACTAGCCGGGCGAGGTGGCGGGCGCCTGTAGTCCCAGCTACTCGGGAGGCTGAGGCAGGAGAATGGCGTGAACCCGGGAGGCGGAGCTTGCAGTGAGCTGAGATCCGGCCACTACACTGCAGCCTGGGCGACACAGCGAGACCCTGTCTCAAAAAAAAAAAAAAAAAAATTCTCTAATTTGAGTAATTGACTTCCAGGTAATTTTCCCTGCCATCAAAACATAATGTGGATTTTCTCATGTTTCTGTAGGTTGTTTAAAGAAAAGGGAAGGGAACAAGTACTTATTCATTTATTTTTATTCATTTATTCATTAACATTTTTTCATTTACACTTATAACAACACATAAATTGTTTTGTTTCTTAGAATCATTCTGTAATGGTA